CGAGGGATAATGCCAAGGCCGGATGGCGCAACAAGGCTCTGAACCACATGATGAATATTTGGTCCCCTGACCATGTTCGTGAGAACGCGCAAGAGTCAAAGGCGTTCTCTTGGCTTCGCTTTGCAGACGTTTCTGCTGGGGACGTTTACAGGGCTACGCATGACAGCCTCTTTACTCGGGCAGCCAATGAACTGCAAAAGAGCGATAGAATCGGCCAAATGTCAATCGTCTACGACGACGAGGAAGGAGAGGACAAGACATTTACTCCCGCACACGCATTGTTCAACATTTGCGCCAGAGAAAATCGCCGTCCTCTTGCTGAGATAACCAACGAAGGCATCCTCGACAATCTTATGAATGTTGCTCGCGGCAGTTACGACGACTCTGGTCTGAGTAGGCTGGAGATTGCTGGTCGGTCTCGTGCGTCGGCGCCCCCAATTGAGGTTTCATGCAACAGCATGAGCGCGGTCAGAGAACGCCAAGACATGATGTTCAACCCCGCCATTCGTAGGGCTCTCTACGGTCCCAACTTTGCGGAGGAGAAGTCACTCATTGAACAAAAGGTGCCTCTCGAGCTATACCCTTCACGCAGCCTTCTCCCCAAGCCCGACAGCGATAAGAAGCGCTTCACCGAATTCATGGTCCCCTCTATGCACAAATTTGTTACCGACAGTGGCAAGCTGGCCAAGCTTGATGAGTTGTTATTCAAACTCAAGAATGAAGGTCACCGAGTCCTGCTGTACTTCCAGATGACTCGTATGATTGATATGATGGAGGAGTATCTCACCTACCGCAACTACAAGTATTGCCGTCTCGACGGTTCTACCAAACTGGAGGATCGACGTGACACTGTTCATGATTTCCAGACCCGACCCGAAATTTTCATCTTCCTGCTGTCTACACGTGCGGGTGGTTTGGGAATCAATCTTACTTCGGCCGATACTGTCATCTTTTACGACTCGGATTGGAACCCTACAATTGACTCGCAAGCCATGGACCGAGCCCACAGACTGGGTCAGACGAAGCAAGTTACTGTTTATCGCCTCATTACCCGCGGAACCATTGAAGAGCGAATCCGTAAGCGAGCTCTTCAAAAGGAGGAAGTCCAGCGTGTCGTTATCCAGGGAGGCGGTGCCAGCGTTGACTTCTCTGGTCGCCGTGCACCTGAGAACCGCAACCGCGATATTGCCATGTGGCTGGCCGATGACGAGCAGGCTGAAATGATTGAACGACGTGAGAAGGAGCTTTTGGAGTCCGGAGAGTATGACAAACAGAAGAAGAGAGGCGGAAAGCGCAAGAAGGCGGAAGCTCCCGCCAGCTTGGATGACATGTATCATGAAGGTAAGATTTCTCTGCGTTGTTATATATGCATCTGCTGACGAGTCGATGCTAACCACGGTACAGGCGAGGGACATTTTGATGACGGAAGCAGAGCTGGAGCCTCTGGCACAGCAACCCCTGCCGAAAGCGATACGAAGGGCAAGAGAGGACGTGGAAAGACGGCTGGGAAACGAGCCAAGACGGCCAAACAACGCCTAGCAATCGCAGACGGCATGGTTGATGCATAAGTGAGGGGATAATGCACCCTTTATGCCGCCTCGAAAGTTTTACTTCCATTTGGACAACCATGCTATATTACAGGTGCCTGCCGTTGTATCAACAGAATCAAAGGGAAAAAAATGGGACGACAAGGAGTGTAAGGCGCGTGGGACAATTGCTAAATGTTTTTTGCTTTCTTCTGTGTTGATGCTTGAACACCTAGGCAGCAACAAATGCGGCCAAGTTCTTCATAGGTGGTCGCTTGGCTGTTGCTAGATGAGCTTACATGCCTGGAGTGGGTGGAACGGGAGAGCCTCGTAGAGGGATTGGGGCCGCCCTTCCAAGGAAACATAAAAAAAAGCACGAGTTGTACTACTATTGATAGACGGGATATCTCTATATATACATATCTCTATATATTGTATCACCTCCGGCGGGACTTGATCTATGTTGTTGTGGCACGTATTGTGCGTCTTACTAGCCCCCCTCTCGGGATTATCGTGGAACTATACCGAGTCAAGCTTGATGGTTAGTGCTGTGCAATGCTGTGCTCAGGGTTAGGGTTGTAGCTCTAACCTATTGCTACATACGAAAGAATAGTCATAATAATGCAATGTAAATTACATTGTCCCCATTTTATATTTCTCATTAGCTTCATCTATGTATGGCGTTATAGATAGCTTGCAGCAACATCTTGTCTTTCTTGCCATGTGGCGGCGTTTTGCCGATCTTAGCCCATGTGCCGCGGCAGGTGCTCGCTTTTCGAATGGTAGGCGTCACTCGAATTCTCAGACCCAAAAATAACCACGGGTATCCCGCATGGACATTGAATAACTTGCCACATCGTCTGCTGTATAGTTATCGGCAGCTTCGAAAATATATCACTAGAGATTGCGTGCCGCATAGATACTTCGGCTTCCTCAAAAGCTTCGATTTGTGCGGGGGATCCCTCCCAGTCGACTCGAACCCCGATTCTCTCCCCTTTTCATGACGTGGACTGCCATTCACCCTCGTTGGCCCTCTGCTTCTGCAGGCGTTCTTGCGCCGCTGGATGCAGCCTTCTACTTTTTGAAGAGAACGGGACGCGCTGGTGTGACCTCTCGATGAGCTGCTTCTCCCGCATGCTACGATTTACGTCCGCCCATCAGATGGGCAGATAATGAGCCGACTCTGTCCTCTCCACATGACAGCTAGTACATCAGGACTACGCTGGGCCGTTCATGTCTCCGGCCAAGGGGGAGGGGAAGTTACAACGTGCAGGCAGATCTAGGTGGCATTGGTTCGCCGGTATGATGCTGGTCAATGAGTTTGGCCCGGCACCTGCCGCCAGTTACGATGCTGTACGGGCAGACTTTCGGCGTCTTTTGTGGGTTTCACTGCGTTCACTTGTGAAGTCACCTGCTTGTCCAGGCGGGAGATTCAAAGACAGAAGCATCTCGAACCCCCGAGAATTTTGTTACACCGGACCCACGGTTTGACAGGCCGTTTCTAAGATGGAGACCGGGGATCGCTTTCCTCCAACGGTCGTCGGAAAATCAGTGTTGAGTGTGGGCGGTCGAGATTCGCTGGAGCTCCCTTCTCCGTTTGAGCCAGGAAAGCTATCGAGCGGTGGAGAACTGGCTGGGCACGATAATTTCGCTACATGTCGAGCAGGAAGTCATGTCTTTTGCTCTGTTCGTTTGATCGCGGGCCTTGCCGATTGAAGATTGAAGAGACTCGATTCAACATATTCTGCAGGCGAGTGGATCAATATAGCCATGCTGCTACAGAACCTCCCCCCCTTTTTAGCCGATGTCGAAGCGTCTACGGAGTATTCACATACCATTAAGTACTTTTCTGACATGTCATATGTCGTACATGAGTTCAAGCAAGCATCATAGGGCTAAGCTGAGGAGGCTTGATAACACGGGCGGCATCTTGCTTGTGACTGTCACGGCTGCCTACCGAGTTGAGCGACGGATGAAGTCGACCCAGGTGTACGGAACGGTCTTCCAAATCAACATTGGCACATTAGGTGGAAATTATGCTATTACCAAGCTTCAGCTGTGCTTGGTGCTCCCCACGACAGTACACTCACAAAGTAGAAACAACCTGGCGGGAGTTGCTGTCATGCTAACGACCGATATGGGTCGATACTGTCTCAAACACTATCGGGGAAAAACTTCGACTTCTCCTTTTTACTTGGAGTTATATGCATGTCTCGCGGCACAAGGCTGCGGGCTGATTACTACAAGATCAGGCCGCGTGCCGCTGATCCTCGCATTTACGCGTCTTTGCTGATGTGGGCAGTGTTAGTTCTGCCTTATCATGCTTTTACCCTCAACCAGAACCCTGCTTCGAAACGATAAAAATCTGCAACAAAGAGATAGTATGTGATGCAAGGAGGCAGATATATCGTGGGGAGTGTATTATCGAGCCGTCAATCTATGTAGGGCTTCTGCGGGCTGAGACCTTTTTCCGACACGGGAATTTCGAACACTCAGCTGACGCAAAGGAACAGGTCTCGGCACAACATGTCAACCTGGGGTTGTATGTTACGCTGGTAAAACCGATCTTAGATCCATCTCCACAGTTTTGGTGAACTTCTGTAGCCTAACAAATGGCAGAAGAGCGTCTGATCATGCTGACTCGTTCAAGGTTGACCGGGCAGTATGAGCTTCAAGTCGAGGGAGAGGAGAGAGTCCGACCGATGGGGAAACAGATCTCGGGAAACAACAGTTACACTGCACGATAATCTGGTCGTAATCCGAGCACGAACAGCCCGGACCGCCTCGGTGTGTCACGAGACCTGCTGCCATGCTGTGCGTCGCAAATTATACATGGGCCTCTCGTCTTCAGAGTCGGGTTGTTTGCTTGTTTGTTTTCTTCGTGCTGCATGTCTTGAATATCCACAGAGACATCTCCGGGCCCCCCCATTTCGATGTTGGCATACAAAGCCGGGCATTTGATGGGTCAAGATGCGTTGTGTTCCGCACGCGCAATGACTGTGTATATCGCGGGAGATGTTCATTTCTAGCGATGATCGTGACATCGGAATGTTCTGTCCCCCGCAATTACCGAGCCAATTGGGTGCAACCCTGTCCGCCATCGTGTCTTGGTTGAACGGGATGCTGGGCCATCAGTGTGCATGCCTTGCATGAGACGTTCTAATAGATATGCGGCTTTGAACTAGACAAGAAAGTGAGAGGCTGTGGAGGGATTCGGGGTGAAGGCACCGGAAAAAAACTTGTTTTGGTTAGTCCCAGAAGGACAAGCAAGCTGACTCTGCGGAGAGATACAGGCTGCATATAAGTGTGGCAACCGATGTTTTGATTTCTTTCGGCTGCTTTGCCCCCGTTCGTTCTAACCTTCCTCGTCGTTTGAAAGATTGGTATCATCACGACTGCTTGTCGATGAGTGACACTAATGCCTAACTTATTTCCAGATACCACCTTACTGCGAAACCCAAAGGTCGTTTTACTATGCGGTGCCCGCCCCTAAACTTTATTGCTTTACATTGTACGTTGGCAGTCCCTTCTCATATTTCGATTCCAACCGTCTCTGAGCAGGGACTTTTTTAGAAGACATCCTTGGTTAGTCAAATTATTTAAACATGGCTAACTGGTCGCAGATGCCTACATCTTTGTCATGGGACTGTTGTCCATACCGTTTCTGTACTTGTACGGGAACATATCTGCCATCGATGCCTACTTTATGGGTTCGAGTACATCAACTGAGTCTGGACTCAACGTGTATGTTCTCGCCAGAGCTCCCAAATCGTATTTCGAATTTATGAGAGAACCTGTTCCGTGGCCTGCCCGGAGTTAACCATTCGTGTCGGTCTATAGTGTCAATCTGAATGAGCTGAAGCTATATCAACAGTTATACCTGTACTTTGCGACTCTATTTACACAGATGGGTTTTGTGAACATCTTGCTAGTCGTTGTGCGGCTCTACTGGTTCAACAAACACCTTGATAACTTTGGTAAGACTTTCCATATCAATCGAAGACGCACGATGACTTAGAACAGTGCCGACGCCATGTTTCCAAAGGCCCTGCTTTCCTTCATGCCCGGAGAAGTGGCCCAGACTCTCAGGAAGACGCTCGCTTGGAATACGGAGAATCCAAAGCAACATCACCAGGCACGGATGTGGTAGCAGAAACCGGAACCTCTGGCAAAGTAAGTGAAAGGGATGGTGTTCAACCAGGTGCCGAAAACGACGATGCTATTAGGGGGTCTTGTCAGGACTTGGAGAGTGAGGCCAGAGTATCTTTCCCTCCCTTCGTGGAAGATGCGGTTGATGCAAGTGCACCGCACATCTCTTTCGACTCGTCAGCGGACAAACTCAGGTATCCCAGAAGCGATTCCGTATTATACGTCCCTGGTCCACGAGATAGAGATCTCGGTAACGATACATGACCCGCCCTGGTGCTACAAGATGGCAACCATCTGACTCTTGCTGACAGGACATCCTTTGGTAGAGCTGACCGGTCCGAGATTAAAAAGCAAAGAAGGTATGTAGGACATGACTTGAGTCCGTCCCTTAACACAGCAATGTTACTTACCACGGCGCAGAGACCACAAGATATGGAGGAGACAACCACCGCCAACATCGCCTTCAGACCCTGGGCCCCCTTCGGGAGTCAAGATCTATAGACCGGGCCGCCGCTCTCGCATCGTCCATTTTTGTTATTGGCAGGGAGCCGACGCCTTCTCTAATCTCTAGAGAGCTCACAAGGCGTCGTCGAGCATCCGACGACATGCCATACTTGTCCACTGGCGCAAGCATTGGACGAAACTCGCGGTTCTATAATTTGACCAGGCAAGATCGCAGCGAGCTGGGGGGTATCGAGTACAGGAGTCTTAAACTGTTGCTCAAAATAGTCGTCGGTAAGTGTCGTTTCTCTGTTTTTTTTTTTTTTGGGGGGGGG